AGATTATTTTTAAAAGTAGGGGAAAAGTAAATAAATTATCATCATATTTTAGACGTTTAAGAATGGATGATTTCTCACGAACAACTAAAATTAGAAAGATTAATTGGTACAGGAAGTAGTTGTGAAGTGTATAAGGGATATTGGAAAGGAGGTGAAGTGGCTATAAAGAAAATGAAAATAAAATCTTTGAATGAAAGTCATTTAAAGGAATTTAGAAGAGAGATATCTGCTTTTGTAACAATTTAAAAGCATAATAATTTGGTTTAATTAATGGGAATATCTTAAAAAGATGATGAATTATATATTGTAACAGAGTTTTGTGCAGGTGGAACATTGTTCGATTTATTACATCGAAAAAAACATTTAGATATCTCTTGGCAGAATAGAGTAAAAATAGCATGGTAAATTGCAGAAGGAATGTTACATTTACATAAATTGAATCCACCATTGATTCATAGAGATTTGAAAAGTTTAAAGTACTTGTTTCTTATAAGAAATATTAGTTTATTATTAGAATAGACATTTGATTAATCTAAAGTGAATATAAAGATAGCTGACTTTGGTCTTGCAAGAGTTTAGGCTGATAATGGTGAAATAATGACAGGGATATTGGGAACATTTGTAATATATATTATATAAATTATAGCATTGGATGGCCCCTGAAGTATTTTAGAATGTACCTTATACTATAAAAGCAGATGTTTATTCTTATGCAGTAAAATAGTTTATCTAAGTTTAGATAGTTTTATGGGAAATATGTTGCAGAGAAACACCTTATAAATAATTATCTACAAATCCTCCTGCAATTATGAAATTAGTAACTGTTGATAATGGAAGACCAGATTTAAACTTAATTTAGTTAGGATGCCCATAATTTTTAAAAGATTTAATGATTAAATGTTGGGATCAAGATCCAAATAAAAGACCATCGTTTTAAGAAATAACTTAATACTTGCGTGCATAATTATGATTTAGTTAATTAGTATGAATTTATTAATCTTTAAATTTCATTATATTACACAGCAACAACTGTCATCTTCTTCGAAAGGAGTATTATATATCTTCCAATTTTCAACCACATATGTTTTATTTAGATCATCTTTAAATTATAGTTTCTTTTTTTCTTTTTACTATCCATCGTATTTTTTCAATATAGATTTGATATTTTAATTAGATTTACAAACAACAATTTGGTTATCCTAAATTTGTTCTTGAGATTCCATATGTGATAAAGATTGAGGTTTAAGAGAATCAATAGCATGAACTCTAGAATTTGTCATTCAATTATTATAAATTATTTATATATAACTAAAGCACTCAAAGTTATGAACATTATTTAAATAATTATTCCAAATAGCTCATATAATTTCACTTAACTAAAGCTAAATCAATATAAAATTAAGATAACTTATTAAATTATAGTTCATATAATACAGAGTATTAGTGATTAATTATTAAATGTTATGCTCATAATGTTTAAATTTATTACTAAAATAGCTTCATTAATAATGATAATATATTTTCATTTCTTTTTTTTTGCAATTGCACTATATGCTCTAAAAGCCTTTTTAGGAATACCAGTAGGAGGTCTAGAGAAATCATAATATTTAATATGCTAATTCAATTTGATGCCTTCTTCTCCTTTCTTAGAATCTTCAATTTTATAATCTTACTCATATAATTAAAATTACTTAGAATTTCATTGAGCTTATCTGCATCAATATATTTTGATAATGGTTCTAGTGGATCAATATTTTCAACAACAATCTTTCTAGAGTTGAATTAGAACTCAACTCCTTTGAATTCTTGATTACGATCTAAAATAACTTAAGAAGTTAATTATTATTGCATTAATTAAAATAATGGATTGGGCAATTATTAGACCTAAAATTGCAACTGATTATAAAAGATAATGCTCTGAATTTTCAAAACCTGTAAATGAAGCAATAGTTCGAACTTATTAAACTAAAACTAATGATATTAATTTAATATTTAGAGGAAATTACAAGCTCAATTTTAATTAGAGGATGTTAGATTAAGATTTAATTTTATTACTTTCTTGTATTCAAAATTATAAAGAACATATCAAACATATAGATCTATCATTTAATGAAATCACTAATGTAGGAGTTCAAGAATTATCAAAATTTTTATCAGGTACTTAAACTTTATTATATAAATAAGGATGTAATTAATTAGAAAGTCTCAATTTACAGAGTAATAAAATTGGTGTAGAAGGAGGGGAATTAATTGCAGAAGGGATTAAGGATATACAAACATTTACTCATCTGAATTTGAATTTTAACAATTTATAAACTAAAGGGGCAATGTCAATTGTTGAAATGTTATTTAATAATAAATCAATATTAGAATTAAATTTAGCTAATAATGGTATAGATCATGATGGTGTGATTGTAAATAATTTATATAGATTTATTAGGCAATTACATCAATTTTGAATTGGAAGAATAATTCATTATAAATTTTAAATTTAGATAATCCAGTTTATCATTCTATTGGATAAGAGACAGCAATACATTTTGGCAAAATGTTTCATTCTAATAGAGGATTGGAAAAGATATCTTTACAAAAACATAATTTTACATGTGATGCCATATACATAATTACAGAACATTTATTAGAAAACAATAAATTAAGAGTCTTAGATTTAACAGCAAATAGAATTTCATTTAAAGGATGTGAAGCTATTGCTAAATATTTATGTGGCGAATATTGTGTTTTAGAGAGTTTAATATTAACATCAAATAGAACAGGACATTATGGAGCAAAAGCAATTGCATAAGCTTTAAGCAAAAATGTAAATATTAAATTGCATTTTAGAGAACATTAATCCATTTAGATATGGTTAGAAATGATATTGATGATAATGGTTTGAAGATGATTGCAGAATCATTAGAAACAAATGATATGCTTGTATCACTTAAGCTTTATTAAAATCATTTTGGTTAAATGGCCTTATAAGCATTTCATAAATACAGAATGAAAAATAATAAAAAATAAGGTAATTTATTAATTATAATATATATTTCTAGCTGAAAGATTTTGGGATTTCCATACTTATATAGTAGATAATCACATCGAAATGGCTTATGTAGAATAAAACATACCTTATGATATTTAAGTATCAAGTCAATATTTTATTAATTGAATTATTTTTTACAAGTATATAGATTCATAAATTATTTCAAATGTTATAAGAAATTGAGTTGACTCTTGATCAAATTTTAATTCAAATTGATAAACATGATGATGAGCTTGATTTTTCTGAAGAAGGAGGACTTGTTCGTATAGTAGCATTTGATTAATTGAAACTTGATTTGAAAAACAAGATTATTGTAATCAATTTATCTAAAAATCGATTGAAAATGATTGAAGAAGTGAATCAATTTTTTAATTTAAAAACATTAGATGTTAGTCACAATATTATAGAAGATGCAAAATTAAAAACAAAGAAATTACAATATCTAAATTTATCACATAATAGATTAAAAAAATTCCCAGATTGCGGTCCATTATCTTAACTTAAATATATTGATATTTCTAATAACTCTATTACAACAATCTTAAATAATGATATAAAATAATTCTCAAAAGATTTAGAAGTATTATTAATCAATGATAACTTAATAAAATTTTTACATGGTTATGATGTTAAAAATATTCTTGAAGAATTAAAGTAATTGAAAATCTAGACTCTAAACATATTGAGAAATCCATTTTTAAAAAAGCAACCATTAATTGAAACTGCATTTGCTGTTACATTATCTGGAATGCTAAAAACTTTGAATAATAAATCTACAGATTTATTTATACCTGATGCTAATTTCAATATTGAAGATATATTAGGAAATGTTGAATTTTTAGATAGTGAACCTGATGAAGAAGATAAAGAATATGCTAAATAATTATGTGATAAGATAACAAAATGTATAAATGATCCTTAAGCTATTGTTCCTTGTCTTAGAAAGATAGATGATTTAGTAAATAAGATAATTGTTTAACCAAATAAAGCTGATTTGTGTTTTCTAGATAAGGATCCAAAAAAGTAACAATAAATTGCAGAATATATAGACAGTTTTTTATAAAATTGTTTTCTTTTTGCTTAAAATCAATAAAGTTATGTAGAATAAATTCTAAAAGCTTTAGCATAATTAGCTATTGTTAAATGCTTAGAAATAGGAAGAAGATGTTTTTAAATGGTGGTAGAAATAGTGAGAAGTGGAACTGGTATGGCAATAATAGCTAGAAATATTATTTAGAAATATAGTATTCCTCTATTATAGTAATAAAAGGAATTAGAATATGTTCCTACTTTTGTTATGGAAGGTATTTTAAGAACTGTAGAAGAGAGAAATGATGAGGAAATGGTTCCAATAAAGTTGGCTCAATTGAATTTTGTAGATTGGTTAGATTAAATTATGGCTAATTATATGAAAGATATGGATAACTTAAGAGAAGAATAATAATAAAGAGATGTGTTATTTCTAAATTTTATGGCTTAATTAGCGGAATTTCAAAAATTTGCAAATGAATATCATTATAGAGGGATTATAACTAAAAGTTTAGTTTTATTCAAATTATTATTATAATCTGATTTAGATGAATAATATATAGGTGTATTATATTTGATTAATAATTCAATGAAGAGAAGTCAGATATGCACAAAAGAAGTATTGGAATCTAGATAAACAGCATGTAATTTCATTAAAGATGTGGAAGATGAATTAAGAAAATATCTATTTATGTTTAAAAAATTCAGAAATTCTCTTTTAAATCCTGAAACTAAAGAAAATAAAGATACTATTTTATTGAGATATGAAAAAGTGGGTATTTTGATATAAGTATATGGAACAATATGGAAAACGGATACAATTGTATAATAATAAATAAAAGATAGCTTTTTAGTTAATGAATTATTTTAAATGGCAACAATTCCAGCAATACATCCTTATTTAATAAATGCAGTAGCTATTTATATTAGAAAACTATTGAAAAACAAAATCATTAAAATATAATAACCTGGAATAGATAACAATGAAATAGTCAAATATATTTGTTTAAAAACTCATAATTGTGAATTATTATTACATTATTTAGGAGGAGATTACTATGTATTAATGATGAAATAATTAGATCCAACAATTTAAAAATTAACTAAAAATTTAAGTTCATTATTAAATACTAAGATACATGAAGTATTTAGAAATATTATCAAATTACTTAAATTTTTTTCTAAGAATGCTATTGGTTATGATAGTCCAATTTCTGATATATGTATGGAAGTAAGTAAGAATTTAGATAATAATGGAAGAGATGAAGCTTTATTTATAGTATTAGCAACTCCTAGTGATATGGTTAGATTGGCTGTAGTTTAATGTTTATTAACAATTAAAGTTTCCTAATTAGATTCTAAAGAAATTGGTAAATTAGTTACTCTCTTGGGTTCTTATAGGAATTTAGGTGCTGGTAAAACAGAAAGTGTAGTTGCTAATATTATGATGATATTGACTAAGATTGTTGTTGGTGAGAAATCATCATCTAGAGAAGATTTTGTAACTGTATTCAGTTAAAATGCAACATTATATGCACTTGATATTTTAGAAAGAAATTAAGAACGTGATCTATTAGAATTAGGTGAAGACAATTCAGAATATTAAGAAAAAGTAGAATTATCTTTTGGAACTAATAATTTTCTAAAATCATTACATTGTGAACCATTATTAAGAGAAAATCTTAAAGGACTATATTAAGCTTAATGTATGAAGAATTCACTATTGAATGAAGATAGTTTATTAACACCTGAAACTTTAGATATAGATATTGAAAGATCATTTATTGGTAAATAATGTTCATATTTAATATCTGTATTATTCAATAGAGATGCATTATTACCATACAAAAAGGTATCAGATAGAATATTGATAAGAATTGCAGAGAATTTAGAAATGAGACCTGAAGATGAAGTTGAAGATTTAAGTAAGGTCAAAAATCCAGGTTTATATGATTTCAAAGAAATTCAAAAAAATTGGAAGAAAATAGCTTTAGAAAGAAGAGCGAAATAAACAGAAATATGGGATGCTATGAAAACTAGTGCAGATCCATTTCTAGTAATTGAAAATTAAGAAGATTCTATTTATCATTAAAGTTAACATTAATTGTTTTATGATTAAGAAGGAGCTATTAATTTGTTGGGTTTCTTAGTTGGTCGAAATCATTCAGCTAAATCTTTATCTTTAAAAGAATATTTCCTTGAAATCTTTGGAAATTAATTAAATTTTGAAAGAATGCTTAATTCAATCAATTTCTATATTCGTGAATAAGTTCATGAATACTTTGATAATTTAAATAAATAATAAGAAATTAAAAAATTATCTACTTCAAGAATGAATGAAAAATTAACAACTATATTTTAAGGATTACCTATGCCTACAGATCCATTAAGAGGATTTATTAAATAGAAACCATATTTTAATCCAAATAAGATTATTCATTTTCCAATGTTTGCAAAAAAAGCATTAAGTATAACTCAGGAACATATTACTTATACAGGTATTAAATTTGAAGAAAGAACTATTACTGTATGTGCATATTTGAGAATTGTATATTCTTTATTAGGTTATTGTCCATAGGATATAAATAAACCAAATATTTAAAGATAGAAAATGGCTGAATAATTGGGATAGAGAGCTGAATATATTAGAGAGTTAACATTAATTTGTTAATGGGCAGATTGGCATAATGGTAATATAGGTGCCAAATATCTTAAAATAATGAATGTAATTTTAGAATATTCATTTTGTGCTAAAGAAAAATAGTTTATAACATCTTTTTTTGTTATTGCCAAGGCAGTTAGGGATATGTTAGATATTATCTCTGTTAAACTATAAAATGAAGATAAATTTCCATTGACTTATGATGATTTGGTTTTGATTAAAGAAACATGTGAATGCATGAGTAAAATTGCTTCTAATTTAACTAAAATATCATATGAAGATAAAATTATGGAAACATATGAAAAAGATTACCCTGATGATTTCTAAAAACAAAGAACTGAAGAAAGAAATTAAATAGCTACTATGATCAATAGATAAATCGATGAATATATCTTACTCAATTTGCTTCCATTATAAGGTTTTACTATATTCTTAGAGATTATTGTTTGGGATATGTAGTCAGAAAAAAGTCTTCTGGCTGCAGTGAGCTTAGATGAAAAGTTTTTTAAAATAAAAACATAGACAAGATCTTCTTTGATTAAATTAGTTGGTTTATATATAGTGAAATGTAAAAGTTTGAAATTTTAAATTCTTTCTGTATTAACTAAAATGGAAGTGTTTACCAAAAAATTCATAAGATAATCGTTTATCTAAGAAATATTAGAAGATTTATTTTCATTTGATTATTAATTAAAATTGCAATCAAGTTTATTAAATAGATCAATTTTAATTAAAAATAAGGATGATGAAGACTAATAAGGAAATTCAAGGCCAGATTATTATGTTGAACATTTTATAAAATGCTATTATCAAACATAAAAAGGCCTCAATATTCCTGCATTGGTTGTAGTTACTTCAAAATATTTTATATTATGTGAAGCTGATGAAGAAATCAAAAAGAAAAAGAATCCTTCTCCTGAATTTGAAAATCCAAAATTATTAATGGAATTTACATCTCTTAAATTGATATTCAAAATAAATAAATCATAAGTAAATAATAAATTATTATTTTAGATCGAAGGTTGTTATAGGATGGAAAGTGATCAAAGAGTTTGTATCCTTTATTCTGTAACTGATTAACCTCCTCCATTTAAAGATGAAGATTCTTTAGAAGTTGCAATCATATTCTTCACAAAAATTATATCATTTATGAAATTCTAAATAGCATTAAGTAATATAAAATTTTCTGATGATACAATCAGTCAAGGTGCATTATTACATATAAGTAATGGAATTTAACCAAAATGTATAATGTGGGCAGTTTACAATCCTGAAAAACCAATATTCAACAAATTTAAAGAATTTCACAAAAAAAGAATGTTGATTCATAATGATGGAACATAAATTAGATTATTCACTGAAAATCTTGAAGATTGGTAATAATTTATTCATTAACATTAATAAGGTTTTTCCTTAAACCAGATTTAATGCTTGAACAAACAGTAAATAAGAAATATGCAAAACTTACTTCAGACACATAAAAAAAACAAGCAAGTGAACAAAGTTATTTCAAATTGAAAGGATCATATGATTTAAGTAAAATGACCTTACTTGAGATAGATTAAACTTTACATAATTAATTAACTTTGTGGTTTGGAACTTAAAATAATTTACGTTTACTTTTTGGATGTGATAGAGCAAGAGAAATATTTAAATATTCTCTTCTAAAATCAATCGAAGTGAAGAAATTCCAAATTAGTAATGGGAAATGACTTTTAATTAATATAAATAATTAAATTAATGACGTATTATCATTTTAAGAAGAATTTTGTTCTTATTTGTCAAACAAATGCAGAATTTAATTCTTGATCCTTTCATTAATAAATGAACAAATTGATTTTAGTTGTACTTCTTGGATTGGCATCTGCTTAATTATAGAGTGTATAAACACTTAATGTTACATAATACTTGGGTAACTGGTATGAAGTGGCCAGCAGTCCTTGGGTTCATTTAACATTTGAAAAAGATGCTTATTGCACAAGAGCTACATATGGTCTTTAATCAGATGGAAATTTGAGTGTCTTAAATATGGAAAGATATGGATCTCCTTAAGGTGAAGTCAAAGAAATCACAGGATATGCTTACATTCCTAATCCAGAATAACCAGGTTAATTGAAAGTACATTTGGAAGGAGCACCTTTTGAATATGCTGATTATTGGATTGTCTAATTAGGTCCAGTTAAAAATGAATAATATTAATGGGCTATTGTTAGTGAACCATCAAAATTCTTCATGTGGGTTTTAGCTAGAGATCCAGTTGAATACAACTTATTGTATGCAACATAAGTCCAAAATACAGTTACAAATACTTTGTAATTCGATGGTCGTTTCAATTAATATGTTGCTAGACCATGGACTGGATGTGTTCCATACAGTGATACCTAATGAAAACAATTAATTTCATATTTCATTAATCAGAATTAAAATTCTTAGATTATTCTTAAAATAATATTTCAAAAAAATATAATTTAATTTAATTATTTATATTGATATTGTTTTTGAAGTAGTCTTCTTATATACACGGATCCTCAGAAACTATTTTTATGATATCATATTTGATTATAATAAATCCTTACTTTTATTATATTATTTCTAATTATTAACAAAATTAAAAAAATCCTATTTTTTAATGAAGTGAAATATTAAAAATATTCAACAACTATTTAATATTTGGAAGATAACATTTCTATTCTTTTTCAATTGTTAAATATCAAAAGAATTGTTTTATTTTCCATTGAAGAAAATCAGAATAAAGAAAAATTCATTGAATATTTTCCTACTAAATAATTAATATATTGCAATAAAACCTGTCTAAAATAATTTTATCTGATAAATGTATTTATACATTAGGTTAATTATTAAACTTCTAATTTTTTCAATTTCCTTTAGTAAAAGAGATGACAAAACTTAAAACATCCATTATAGCATAAAAAGATAAAAACATGTATTTGATATCAATAAGAAAGTCTTATGAAAATATTTGATATTTATATTAGGAAATTTGAGATATTATTAATAACAAGAGAAAATATTGTTGTTATTTGAATATATGAATGATAACAATAAAAAATTGTAATTAATTAATTAAATATAAAAAATAATATAAAATATAGACATAATTGCCAATTTAATTTTCTGAATCTATTAATTTTGAAAGTATAGTAAGTCTAATGAGATTACTATTTTGTTACTCTTCGGCCATCATTTATTATCTGAGATTTGTTAAGATATCTCCTGATTTCTACTTTAAAAATAATTATAAATTTTTTTAGTAGTAAGATATCTTCTTAACAAAATCATAATCAATAGTAGGGTTTGCATCTTTATTTTATTAAGCAAATTAATATTCTGAATGTCTAATTTTATGTCTTCTAATTTAAGGCTCAGATTATCCTAATTAATCTTAAAATTCTAATGGTATATCACCTGCTCCAAAGATTCTGTAATAAATATCATATTTGATTGGTTTTATAAATTTATAATTTTTACAAAGATCCTCATCAATAGAATATTATAAATTAGATTCTGGGTATTCATTTTATGGTCTGAAAAACAAATAAAATATTTTATGATCAACTCCAGTGATTCTACCAAGAGTGGCTCCTAATTAAGATTGACTTGTATAGATAGTTGAAGCAACTTCAATATCTTACATAAATTAATCTATTGTGTGTTTTAGATTAGGATATTGATGAGTACATGTATTAACAATATCCTAAAAGTTACTTCCATCCTAAATACGAGACACTACATTCGTACTAGTGTGATTATGGATGTGAATTACCATTAAAATAATAATTGCAAATAATTTCTTTATTCTTCTTTTAATTTCTATAATTTTGTTATTTCTATTAATTCATTGTTATAATAGGTATTTCTTCTTTAAAAAGATCTGAATATTTAATAGAAGTATTAGATTTCTTTTAGCTTTTCAGATATTACAAATAATCTGTGATTTCTAAAGATGGATATTTCAAAATTAATTTTTTTTTATGCAAAGGAGCTCTACGTTCCTTTCTGCTCTCTTATTTAATAGTTTCAATAGAAGGTCTATTCAAAATAGTTTATTAAGAATTATGAGTATGTAAAAGCTTTACTGAACTGAATCCTGGCCTTTATGATTTATTTATTTTTTGTGATGACTGAGGAGAATGAATACTGAACATTTATTTATAGAGACTTACCTAAGTAACTTATGTATGAATATGATTTCTGTTATTATTAGAGTGATTATCTTTCATCTATTACAAAACCTTATATTAATTAAGAAAGTCTATCTTTGAGTTATCTGCCAAAAAATTCTTATAAAAGAACTTCTTCTTAATGTAAGGCTCAGTTGGAAATATCATAAATATATATATAAATTATATTAATATCATAAAGAAGCAATACTTTATTCCCATTTGAATTAGAACTTTAACTCTCTTTCACTAAGTAATTTTATTTAATCTTTTGCATAATCTACTTATTTCTTGTATTCAATAACAAATTCATTAATTGATTTAAAGAATTCATGTTTGGCTGATATTTATCTAAATGTTTTAAATGATTTTAATGGTCTAAAGTTTATTAAATTAAATACGTTGTAGTTGTCTAAATGGGTTTCTCAATTTCTTATTGTTTTCCTCCTGGAGCAGGTTTCTTAGCTTCTGGAGCTTTATTTTTTGCATCTTTCGGATCTACTTTTACTACTTAATTGATTTGCCAATTATATTATATAATTCTATCTCCTATAGTAAACATATCCAATTAAACACCTTCCCAAGTTTTACTTAGAGATCTTTCTGAATTTGTATCTATTATTTAACCACTCTACTTTTATCTCAAAGAGACTTTCAAATTTTAATGCTTTTTTTATATTTATTCATCTCCAGGTAATTTAATAAAATCTTCAAATAATAAGAGTGAATCATAAAAAAGTAATAAGAATTCAAAATTTTAATTTGCAGCTTTCAAATATTTGTCTCCTTAATTGAAATTTTCATCAAAAAGAGTTACTTAATATTTTGATAATAATTCCAAAAAATCAGATAATCTTTTTGATTCTTTTTATTTTAAATCATCTAATTCTTCTTTTAATTATGGATTTCCTAAATTAGGTCTTAATAATTTTTAATGTAATTTTTTAAGATTCTCTTATTTATTTTATTCCTTTTATAATTCATTCCATAAATTAGTATTAATTAATGATAATGTGAATATCCATCTTTAATGATTTGATAATAATATCATCTAACTTATTTTTGGTGACATTTCTGATAATTCTTCACAAGCATTCCTAAGTTCTCTAATTGATTATATTCTAAATTCATTCATATTCCTTTACATATTCTCAATATATGCTCTAAGATAATCTGGAATTTTATCAGTTCCAGTTAAGAATTTTTATTTATCTGCATAAATTTTAATTGCTTCTTCTTTAATTATCTTTTCAATATCTACTAAACTTTCTTATAATTTCTTTTCAGCATAAAATAATGGTCCCATACTTTCTAAATCATTTTCAATTATTTTTTTATCTTCTTATTATTCTTCAACTTCTAAAATAGTATCAAATTTATTTTCCTTCCAAGTAGTTCTTGGCATATCTACAACTTTATTATCTGGTTTAAGTGCTTCAATATGATTTGCATATCTTTTGATACAAATTAAGGTTCCACTTAATATTTTTCTAATTTTTATAGAAAATGATGGTTCAAGATTAGCAAAATAATCACCTTATTTATTTTTGAATAAATCATAATGATCTTTCAATTCTTGTATTTTCAAATTGATACATTCTTATGCTTTTTCACATTTAGTCATTTCTGTTCTTAATTTTTCTTAAGCTATTCTTTTAGGTCTTCCATATTTCTTTCCAGTACCATCTTTAGCTGCTAAATCTTCAACTGCTATTATATATTCTTATTCAAATTTATCCAATTATTCTTATTTTTTAGCTATCAATACTTTTTTAATTTCTTCTAATCTTTATGTTCTTTTTTCTTTATGTTTAATAATTGTAGCATTATGTTCATCCATCATTTATTGATACCATTCTAATTCTTCTTTAAAATATTCATTTGGTTTGCAATCTCTCATAAAATCTTTATTTTTTTATAATAATACATCCAATTCTTAATTTGCTAAATAACTTAATTTTTATTCTAAATCATTAATTTCTATTATAAATTAAAAATATTACTTTCTCCAAATTTAAAATAATTCTCTTTAACAGTATTTTGAATTCCTTATAATTTGGCTAAAGTTGTTGCTGATTATAAATTATTTTTTAGTGTTTACTACTCTTAAATGTAATCTTTCATATCCAATAATCCACCTTCCAATAAAAAATTGATCTATTCTGTTTGATCATCAATTCTTTCTACTAATTACTTTGCATATCGTTCATATCTAATTAATTAATATTTTATTTTACCTTTTTTTATGCATTGTAATTTATTGGCTTCTTAATACATATATAGTATTTTTGATTTCTTGTTTTTATGGTTCAATTTAAGACTACTTTTCATTTCTCTAATTTTCAGATTACTTTATAAATTCATTATCACTTTCATTAGCTTTTTNAGATAATCTGGAATTTTATCAGTTCCAGTTAAGAATTTTTATTTATCTGCATAAATTTTAATTGCTTCTTCTTTAATTATCTTTTCAATATCTACTAAACTTTCTTATAATTTCTTTTCAGCATAAAATAATGGTCCCATACTTTCTAAATCATTTTCAATTATTTTTTTATCTTCTTATTATTCTTCAACTTCTAAAATAGTATCAAATTTATTTTCCTTCCAAGTAGTTCTTGGCATATCTACAACTTTATTATCTGGTTTAAGTGCTTCAATATGATTTGCATATCTTTTGATACAAATTAAGGTTCCACTTAATATTTTTCTAATTTTTATAGAAAATGATGGTTCAAGATTAGCAAAATAATCACCTTATTTATTTTTGAATAAATCATAATGATCTTTCAATTCTTGTATTTTCAAATTGATACATTCTTATGCTTTTTCACATTTAGTCATTTCTGTTCTTAATTTTTCTTAAGCTATTCTTTTAGGTCTTCCATATTTCTTTCCAGTACCATCTTTAGCTGCTAAATCTTCAACTGCTATTATATATTCTTATTCAAATTTATCCAATTATTCTTATTTTTTAGCTATCAATACTTTTTTAATTTCTTCTAATCTTTATGTTCTTTTTTCTTTATGTTTAATAATTGTAGCATTATGTTCATCCATCATTTATTGATACCATTCTAATTCTTCTTTAAAATATTCATTTGGTTTGCAATCTCTCATAAAATCTTTGTTTTTTTATAATAATACATCCAATTCTTAATTTGCCAAATAATTTAATTTTTATTCTAAATCATTAATTTCTATTATAAATTAAAAATATTACTTTCTCCAAATTTAAAATAGTTCTCTTTAACAGTATTTTGAATTCCTTATAATTTGGCTAAAGTTGTTGCTGTTTATAAATTATTTTTTAATGTTTACTACTCTTATATATAATCTTTCATATCCAATAATCCACCTTCCAATAAAAAATTAATCTATTCTGTTTGATCATCAATCCTTTCTACTAATTACTTTGCATATCGTTCATATCTAATTAATTAATATTTTATTTTACCTTTTTTTATGCATTGTAATTTATTAACTTCTTAATACATATATAGTATTTTTGATTTCTTATTTTTATGGTTCTATTTAAGACTACTTTTCATTTCTCTGATTTTCAGATTATTTTATAAATTCATTATCACTTTCATTAGCTTATTAATTTTAAAAGTTAAGACAACTAGTTATATAATCAAATAATTTCTATTTAGTTTAATTTAATAATGCCGATAAATATTCTATTGTTATTATTGCATCCTTTTCTAAAACAGCTTAATTTAACACATTTATAGGAGGTTGTTCAGCAAAATCAACTGATTTCTTAGGGACATCCTCTTCTGGAATATAATTAGGTAATTCAATAGGAGGTGGAGCTGCAGGTTTTGCTTTAGGATCTTTTGGTGCATTCTATTATTATAAATATGATTCAATTTCATCAGCTTCTAATTTTTCTTTAGCTAGTACTTATTCCATTTCATCTGGAGGAATGTACATACGTTCTGCAATTTCATTTGTAGATCTAAACAATACAAATTATTAATCAAGGGGACTATTATATTTAGGTACTTCTTAGGGTGGTTATTCCTTTAATAATTATTTCATTCTATCCTCTAATTCTTATTAAAATCTACTATATTTACTTATTAATACTTTTTTGGATCTTTAGGTTTTGTAGCAGGAGGTTTACCTCCTTTTTTATTCTTGGCTTCTTCAATTAATTTCTCTTCTTCTATTTTTTTATTATATTCTTCTTTAGCAATTAAATATTTTATTTTTGTTTCAGCTATCCTTCTATATTTTTCTTATAGGAATTATTCCTTTTATGGATCAACTAATTCAAAGATATTTAACACTTATTTTTCAAATATTTAATGTTTATTTTTGATGATATTTGGATGTTAATTAGCTATAGCCATATTATCTTAATGAAATCTTTCATATTCTTCTCCAAATTAATCTAAATCCTTATAACATTAAGTTAAACATTCTTCTAAACGAGGATGATGTAATGCTTCAGTTAATTTTTACTTATCTTCTTTTAACTTTTTAGTTAATTCTTCTAAGACTTCATCATTTTTATCTGCTGCTTATGCTTTTTGTATTTCATAATTATGCATTAATAATTGCATTTCAGTTTTGTATTCATCATTTTTAGTTGCTATTTTCATAAAGAATTATCCATAATTAGTGAGTATATCAGTTTATTATTGATCAATTCTTTCATAATAATCAATAGCTTATTTCATTAAATCTCTAGCAGATTGATTTAAACTATTAACTTATGGTAGGAATTATTCTTCTAATAATTAATTTAATTCTTCTTCTGATTTTGCTCTTGCATATAATAATTATGATTTGATTAATTCATATCTTTACATACAATAATTATGTGTTTTTTTAGTTTCCTCTAATAAATTATTACAACAAACATCAATTGTTTATGATGCTAATTCATTATATGATTTAGTTTCATCTATCCACTTTTCAACTATTGTTTTTGTTAATGCAGCTAAATCATATGAATTAAGTTTCTCTAATAATTGTTTTCTTTCTCTAAATATATCCTTTTATGTTTTCCTAAATTTATCATATAATTATGTTCTTTCATCAGGATATACATATTCTAATTTCTAAATATCAACATTAAATTCTTCAATATAATGTTAATGTTTTAAATCTCTCCATCGTTATTCTTTCTAAATTTGTGTTTCGTCATACTATTTAAATGTCTCTTAATGCTATCTATTGACCTCTTGAACATAGACTTAATTGTCTGCTCTCTTCTCTGCCACAACCTTTCGAAACTCTTCTCTGAAAGTCTGAGTGTATAATAAGAGCTCATACATCCACATGCGCAGTTATTTCAGGTTCTAATTAGAATGCCACATCAATTAGACCTTCTTAAAATCTATTACAGAATAGTTCTAAGGATCTAAATCTCTCTTTTTCTAAATCTTCTAATCTTTTATCAAGTGTGTTAACTTTGGTTTCTCTTTTTTCTCTATGTGCATTGACAGTTGAATGGATACTTTCTACAAATTCTATTTCCCTTTTAAGTAAGGCTTCATCAGTAAGTGTTTGATAATAATTAGTTATTTATTGATCTGATTCAGAAAAGAAATCTGTAATATCTCTTTTAATATCTTTATAGGCCTCTTCTAAATTTTTATTTAGACGATTAACCCATTTCTCAAATTCATCACAAAACTTTAAATGATTCTCTCTTCTCGTATCCTTTTGTCTTTCAATAAGTAACTTGATATTAAATTTTGATAACTTACTTTAGTTTGTTCTCTATATATAGGTGCTGGATGTTTAGGTAATGAAGCAACTTCAGATTACAAAGTATATTCAAATTTTTAAACTTCTTTTTCAAGTCTAGCTTATCTTACAGCTTCTTTTCCTGTGGATGTAAGTGTCACTTTAGGCATAGAAGAATTTTCAGGTCGTTTATACTCATTAAGAAGAGCAGCATGTAACTGAGAAGATGCTTTGAATTAAGAACTAATTGGTTGCTCTTCTAAACTTCTTTACGCAGACCTTGTAAAAGTTGATTTCATAATTAATATAAATGGGTTGTTTAGAATTTTGGGTTGTGAATAGTTTCTTAGCAGCACTAGCATTCGTATGATTATATAGTAGAATTTTAGTTTATACTATTCTTAGTTGTAAATGCAAAAACCCCATTTTATCCATATGCTGTGGCAGGAGGAGAATCCAAGGATTATTCGAGAAGTGCCACCGCATGTATAATTGCTGCAGCAGTATAATATCGTTAATATTTAAGCTGTATATATTTATTGGGCTTGGTCTCTTATTATGGTAGAAAAACAGAGAGTATAGAATGGAAAAGACTAGATAATATTAAGCAATGACTAAACAAAAAACTAGTTTTGATGAAATAATTCGAACTCAATCATCAATTAAAGGACCACAATTAGAGTTATGATCTAATTATTAATTTAAATAACAATCCAATATATACATATCACCTTACTATTACTTCCCTATTCATATCCTATTAAACCAAAAAGAAAATAATTAAAAAAGATATTAATTAATATTTATGGCTACCCCTCAATCCTTGTCACCAGCCCCATTGTAATCTTTGGGAGATTTTACAGCTAAAAAGCTTATTGAAGATGATTTCTCAACAGGAAAAGCTACTTTAAAAGTTAAGGCTTCAGCAAATGGTGGCGGCATTGCCAATTATAAAGGGACATTAGACATCAATAAGTCTTTGGCTCCAGGATAAGAAACAAAGTTTTAACTTCCATATAACAATTATTATTTCTGGTTTGCCACAAGAAAAGAATAAACTAAGGTTCATATTGATTTTGGCAAATTTAATATCATCAAACAATAAAATTTATTTGCTAATGTGTAATTCTATAATAGTTCATCAAAATCAACTATTAGATTCGGATCAGTCTATGAAGGATAAAAATGTTTAAGTCATGCAAGTACTTATATATAAAATAAATTAGGATTTGAATGGTTAAACTAAGACAAAGTGAACTTCTTATTGAGATCATAAGTCAAACATAATAATTGGGTTTATGTTATTGCCTCATAATTATGTCTTAGCAGAAAAGAATTTGATAAATTAGACTTTTTGGTTGGATATTAAACATAAAATTATGATGTTTTCTTTAGACATTTAACCAATCAAATCCCATCTTTCCCATTATTTAGCAATTTTGGATTTGGAAAATTTCTACTTGATGCTGTTTTCAGAAAGAACTCTAATCAATATGGACTTGAAATTGAATATACTCCAGTCAGCAGATTTACTTTCCAATTAGCTGCTTCAACCAAATTCTAAGGAGCTGATGTTAAGGCAAGATTCAATTTACTTAATAAAACTGTTGGTCTTTCTGCTAAAGGAAAATTCAATAACACGTATATTTATAATCTATTTAACTTATAGATTCTCATGGACCTTAGCAACATAAGTTCCAGTCGATGGAAGAAGTCCCTCTAAGTGTGGAATTCTTCCAATTCCTCTTGGAATAACTTTGGAAACAACAATATGAGATTATTCATAAATAAATATTATCCATATACAATATTAATTCTTTATAATAAACAAATAGACAAACTAGCAAAAATTAATTTATATCAAAACTAAATATTTTTAGTAGTAGAATATATATTTAATATCAAAATATAGTTAAAAATTATTTTAGTTTGTTATGGATTAGGAGATTACAGACATAAAAATGTTTAGAAAATTAAGTGTACGAATTTCTGAAGAGTTCAATTTTATATTTTATAAATAAAATATATGGAGTCAAAAATAAACAATTTATTTAGAATGAAAATATTAATTTATATGATATTTAAACAAAAACCTTATCTCATTATTCTTATTCTGGTTATTATTATTCTTATTCTGGCTATTATTAATGATAAAAATATTCCACAATTTATTCAATCTGATATCCCTGCAATAACATAAACTAAGATTATTACTCATATGATAATTAGTCATAATTCTATGTATAAAATTCAATTAATTTTTATTATTCTTCTTAAGTCAAGGAATGGAGATATTATTATTATTCTTCAAGATACATAACTTACTCTTCTGCATAAACTTTTTATTATTCAATAAAAGCACTCTCAGTAATTTATTAATGTTCTTCAAGGGTCATTCCATGCTCTTATTGAAATTCTTTTTAATCTTCTTCATAATCCATTTGATCAACTAATGCCTCATCTGAATCACTATTAAGACCTTCCATTACTTTTTTCTTTAATTTTCTTTTTGGTTATTAAACATCTTCAAAATATTAATCTAATCTTAATTTTAACTTTTATTTAACTTATCTAATTGTCTAAAGAGGTTATAATGATTTTATTATTTCTTTATTAGGATTTAATAATAAAGCTAACTAAAATTTCTTTAAAACTTCCTCTTTAGAATACTTTTATTACCAATCATTAACATTCATTACTGCTTATCCAATTAAATAATGTATTAAAGATTATAATTTAGGATTTTGAATTTATTATTATTGTACAAAAGTAACAAATTTTTTTAAAGTGTTTATATCTTTCTTTTCCTCTACTTAATGATATGATCTAATTATTTAACCCCAAATAATTATTGGATCATTATTGTAAATATATTGATTAGTAATTTCTAACCATTTATCTAATTCCTAATATTTTTCAGTTGCCACATGATAATGTATATATATTGATAAACTAGTTGGATTAAATGTACCTTAATTTACAAACTAAAAAAGTAATTTAAACTAGTACTTCATCAGCTATTTCTTTTAAATTTGTCAATGTAACACCGATTGATTCAATATCATCTAATTTTTTTATATAGCAACCATAATGTAACATATTGTAGATAAATCTAGCCTTCTTAAGTTTTTCATCTTTTGGTAAAAATTGCTATGCATATAAACAATAATTTTGCATTATTTACTATAATATAGATTCCATACCTTATGAACCTCTATCAAAATATAATTATGTTAAAATTGGCTAATTAAATATAATTAATTTATACTATTAATAATAAAGCAGTCTTTTTCCATTAAATTTAATCTTCATATTGTTCAAGATACTTATCTCTATATTATATAATAAGTTGATTAACATTTTATTTTTCATTTAATTTTTTTTAAATCAAGGCTTTTATCCAATATTTCTCTTTATTAATATTATATTTATTAGCTATTTAATCCAACAATCCTTCTGTTGATATTTATTATTCAATGTCACATAAGACTTTCACTAAAAGTTTTGCAATTAAATTATCAGCATAAGGTAAAATCTTAAATTTAATTATTTTTAATATCAAAGGTAATCTAGATATATTTCTAGATCTCTCTAAAACTAATTCATTTATAATAGTATTCAACCAAAGAGTAGCTTAATTAGTTTTTCTAAAATCTAAAATTTCTTATTGAACATATTTCTACTCATAAAATGTTAAGTGTATTTTATTAAGAATGTCTCTATATACTTTTTTCAATGGATTATGAAATATACATAATTATAAATGAGTAATTGCTTCTTACCAATTTCCTTAATATATCAATTCCATAAATTATAATTTATGTTTTAATTCTTAAGTAATTTTATTATTTTTATCCATTAATTAATCAATATAATTAATCAATTATGCTTCATTAAGTTCTTTTAATTTTAGACATTATTATTAAAATTTAGCAACAAATAAATAATAATCTTTATGAGAATTATCTTTTAAATAAATTGTTCTTGTATAATGATACCATTTATTGACAAAACCCATAAACAAAACATCAAAATTAAAAATATTTGTTGCTTATCTTAATTTAATAATATTTTTAACCAACATTTCAAATGCATCATTTATAATTCCTACTAATTCTTTTAAATTTGTTACTTTATCAATACTTAATGTTAATAAATGAATTAAATATTTTAATTTTGCTGCCCATTAAACTTGATTATTATTGATATTTTCATACTAATTCATTTAAGTAATCACTAATTGTATTTCTTCTTTTATTTATACTATACTAGTATACTTATTGTAAATCTTTTCTAATTCTGTTGAATTCTAAATATAAGGAATTTCACAATACAAAATCTCCATATATTCAGATGGAAATTATTTAAGCATCTACTTAAATTTTTCATCATGAAGGATTGCCTCACTTTTAACTGTGTATCCCAAATATAAATTTCTATATATAATACTTAATATATTTTAAATTGGAGTATTCTGAAGTGTTGAAACATAATCTAAATATGAAGATATTGCTTATGTTAATTAATTTTAATAAAAATGTAATGAATCCAATTGTTTCACTTTGTTGCAATCAGATATCTCAATATTATAATTTTATTGTAAATAAATAAATAAAATTATTGATAATGCTAAATATGCAAAAGCTGATGTTGTAGGTTCAACTTCTATACATTTTTAAAGCGTTTAAAATGCAAATTCATAATTTTATCTACCTATATATAATAATCCTAATTGATATAGAGCAGCTTAACATTTCTTATTACATTCTAGAGCTTTTATAATGAAAGCTGGATTTTTTCGTATTTAAGCAGCTATACAATATAAGCTGTCACATTTTGGAAATAAAGATAAACTTAATTCTAAATATTTTATATTATCTAAATTAAGTCTGCTTCTAGTTAATAATAAAGATTGCAAATTATTTTTAACAATTAATTACTTTTTATCTTATCCATTTAAAATACTTCTCATATGTTAAAATGTTTCTTATAAATCAAATTAATCTGTTATATCAATCTGACATAATAATTTTATAACAATTTATGAATATTTTAAACTCTATTAAAAATGTTAGACATCATGATATATTCCTAATAAATAAAAGAATTCTCTTAAACATTCACATGCATAAACATTTAATTATATTTAAGGTGAAATCAATTCAAATAAGCTTAAATATTTCTAAGCCAATTATTAAACTCCATCTGTTCCATAGACTAATTGATTCTTTATTTATTGTGAAGCAATCTCAAAAACAAAACACAAATAGCTCTTAATTAATATTTAAATTTCTTAATCATCAAAATTATGTATTGACATTAATAATCCTTAAATCATTCTTTCTTAACTAAAGTATTCCTATTATCCATATAATTATAATTAAGCACATTCAAAGTTATGCAAAATCAAAAGTTTAGAATATTATTTATCTATTTTCTTTGTTTTAAGTGTACAAACCCATCTGTTTTAAATTTATATTTAGTTTAATTCTTAAGTAAATCTAATTAATTTTCCTTTATTTGTTGTTATATCACATTTCATTGTCAAATAATTATCTAAATCTGATATTTAATTATTATTTTCATTTAAAAGTAATTCTTCTGCTTTCTCTAAACTCTTTAAAGCTGATCCTTAGAGTCCTAGTATCTTTTTTAATTCAGCTAATTTCATCTCTAATTTAAATAATTTTAGATATTTTTCATCTTAAAAATATTATTCAGTTAAGACAATCATACCTTAATTTACCAAATAATTTGATGAAAAAACAGGATAATCAGATAAATATAAATTATCATTTTGATTAATAAAATAAGGAATAGAGAAATCTCCTTAATCAAATTTTTTTTCATAATACAATTTATAAGTTTTCTCAACATTAAAATGAAATTGATCAGCTGCTTTCTATAATATATCATGAGCTTTCCCAAATTAAACCTTTTACATTAAATGTTATCCTATTGTAAAACTTAACCAATAGACATTCTAAAATTATTACAATTTATAAATATTAATAGCAAATTCCAAAGCCTTATCTTTTTATTTTAATTTATTTAATACAAACATTATAATTTAATTAAGATGATAATTAGTTTAGCAATAATTAAAAGCTCTATATAAATGTTCTAAAGATTCTGAATATTGTTTTTAATAGAATGCTATCATACCAAGAGCCAAACTGGCTTCATAATCATCACCTTATACTTTTTCAAAACAAGATTTTGCTTCATTTATTTGGTTATTTATTAATTTGATTGTTCCAATTCTCTTAAAAATAATTTGTTCAATCTTTGGTGGAGCAGGGAGATATTTTTAATATATTTCAACAAGTTGTGTTTGTGATATTTTATTTTCTGAAAACTTAAGCCAATCATAATTAATTTGAACTTTTAGATTTTATGGATCATCAGATAGAATCTTTTCAAAAATTAATTACATTGATAATTCTTCATCATAATGTCTAATCAAAGATACTAATTTAATTTGATAATCAAAATATTTTTCATATGTTTCTAGTGAATAAGCTTTATTTTTAATTCTTATTTTTAAAAGATTCTTCATTTCCATCAATTCAACTGGATCTGCTAAAATATCATATCCAAGATTAGCTCCTACTTCCTCTAATACAGAAACATCAAAATCAAAATTTTTTAATTATTTCATTCTCTTATTGAAATCAACCATCAATGTATTTGCCATTTATGAATTTTCTTTATTTCCACTCTTAAATAATTAAGCAACTTTAAGAGGCAATTCTAAAATTGTATAATCCTTTTCTTTTTCAATAATATCAAAGTTCTTTTATTAAAGTAATTTATCTATGACTGACAAAAACTAATCTCCACATTGTTATACAATCTAAGATGCATAGATCCTCATAAATGCTAAGAAAGCTTATGCTTTCAATGTAGTTTTATTAAATTATTCTTCATCATAAATTTAATAATTCATATAAGTCAATCCTTCATTTGCATCACTTAACAAAATTATACATTATTCTAATAAGAATTTAATTTTATAATCAAGAAAGCAGTGACAATACCTTAAAACTTAATCTAATAAAAAACAACTTGAAGGAAGTAATTCTAACCAATCAAATAATACAACATAATGTTCTTTCTAAATGGCTAATCCAAATATAATATCTCTAAAATCTAATGGAAACTTTGATACTACTTTTCTAGCTATAATTTCTATTATTTCAAAATTTGGCAATTAATTATAAATCTTTTGTGAAAATTGGAGTATTATGGAATTAAATGATTTTGGTTGAGTTACATCTATTAATTTAAGATCAATTATTAATGGAATATAAAATTTGGCTACCTTATAAACTTATTCAGCTGTTCCATGTTTCAATAATTCTAGAAAATGAACATCTAAAATTTTCCTCTCCTAATTTTCATGCAATATTTCACAATATCCAACTGTGGCATCCATAGCCTTTCCAATATCTGTTTTTTTGCTAAACATAACATAATATTATACTAAATTGTTATTAACTTTTATCCATACTCAATTGCTTTTTCTTTATTTTTAATATCATCCTTATTCAACTTAAAGAGAGCATTTAATATTTTAGGATCTTCAGGTCTTTTTTCAAGTGTGTAAAGATAAAATTCTTCAGCTTTCTTAAAATTCTTTAACTTCTAAAAGCATAATCCACTTAACATATTGTACTCTATGTTTTTTTCTAAACATAAAAATAAGATTTACAATCTTTCAAAAGCAAAACATCTAAATATTCATCATATGCTTCTTTATATTTCTCTTATTTAATAAGGGAAAGAGCTTTTTAGTATAATTCTTTTTATCTATCCATATATTAAACTTTATATTAAAATATACAATACAAAAACTCAATGTTTCTTACCTCTAAGTTTCTCTCTCCATTTTCTGTCATTTCTTTACTTGATTTCATAAATCTCCTTAGTCCTTTGTGAATTATCAAAATCTCTCAATTTCCAATAAAGAATGTCCAATCTGAAATTTGAGTCTGATGGTAAAGGACATGGATGATTAACCATTACATGAGGATTCATCTCAAGTGTATCAAATAATTTAACCCCATCAAATTCTACCATTTGATTCCAGATCCCATTTATTGAAAAATACTAATATATTAATAAATCTATAACCCTTTATTCAACATCCTTATCAAAATCGATTCCAGTATATTTAGCATAACCTTCCTTCTTATATTTATTCAAAACTCCTGGCTTTACTTTATACATATACCCAATAAATTGGTCTTACAATAAGTCTTTCTTATTGAATACATTCTTGCTTCCAGGATTAAATGCCATATCAGCAATTAAATTATTTTCCTAAAAATCATAATTATTGATACTAAATCAATTGTATATGATCGTCCATTAATATTAAACACTCTTGTTCCAAATGCAGTACCTGTTAATACTCCTGGACATTGAATAAAGATTTGCTTCGAACGTGTATTGTGGTAAGTCACTCTAATAAATCCAATATTCTTTCCAGTAACACTATTTGCATGCATACTGGCTGCTGATTCAATATGTCCGTCAATATCATAACCTCTACCTTTCAATTAAAAAGCACTGATAGGTGGATGATGACTCACTTATTCAGCATATACAGGGCATCCATTAATAAAACCTTAATAAGTTTCTCCCAAAATAGGATTGAATGGTTTTTCTAAAGACATATACATAATAATTGAACCTATAATTATAATAAATTAATACTGCATCCAAATGCTATTGTATATTTCATTTATTCAATAATATTATCTATTTTAGCTGCTTTTTCCAAGATTTAAGGAGCAAATGTAAATGAATAGCAAAACCTTTCTAAATTAGATCTACTTTCAAATACTTCAACAGGTAATGATATATTTAATATAGATTTACCAGATAATAAATTGGACCCTATTGATTTTAACATAAATTTAATAACTCTCTTTTAAGCTTCTATCTTCTTTTAATTATAAAATATCATTCCCCCATGTTTCATATCTCTTTTCCAATCCTATCTTAAAAAGTAATGTCCACCATTTATTTATGTGATATATTCATCCTTAGCCCTTTATGGTTCTTAAACATATCTGTGAGTGATACAATTAACAGTATAATCATATGAACCTTGTTCAATATTTTTTATCATCTGTTTTACTTAAGCCATTTCTTTATCAGATAATTCTGGTAATGTCTATTGAATGAAATCACTTGGAGTGTAATTACTTAAATCAGCATCTTCAATATCTTTATTATATTATTAGATTTCATTTATTTCTTTATGATTTTCAATAATTAATGGAGCTGTTTCTGGTACAGTAGCTATTATTGGTAATGAATCCAAAGTTATCTGATGAGTTTAATTAATTTATTCAAACTTAAATTAATTTTCAGATGGAGTAGTTACAGGAGAAGGTTAGTATCCTTCTTTTATCAGTATTTATTATTGTTATGGAATAGTTTACTATTATTAATTTATATCAATATATTAAACTTATTATGGTTAATAAAGTTATTAAGACTGTTGTATACTAGATATTCCTTAATCTATTATTATTATTTCTTTTTATTTATTTACTCTTGTACTTTTTAAAACTTATAAAAGAGGAGATTGTATTATCTCTTCTACAGCAGTATATGTTTTTAAAAATTGCTGAAAATGTGAAAGTTCACTTAAATACCATTAGGTAATTGCACAGTCTTAACTCACAGATGATAAACCACCATTTGTTATTTCTGTCTCAATTCTTACTATAATATTATTTTATTTGTTAACTATCTCGGTCAGCTAATAATTAATCTCTCCTCTAATCACTTTCATGTATGGAGGGGCATCTTCATTCTCTATCGATTTGTCCACAATCAGAATGTCATCTCCTCTGTATGTAACATATCTGAGATACACAAAATCTCTGGGCAAATAAAGTAAACCATAAGGTTTGTGTCTTTCATAAATTATTCCACAATTCTCACTTTACATTATGTTTAATAATTTAGTTTCATTTGGATTTATAACTGCATTCCATTTTTTCACAAAATCAATTTCAGCTAAGCATTGAAATACCTTATCAATTTCTGCATTTTAAATGGTTAAGGTTGATCTAAAGCAAAGAGAATTACCTTAGTCTTTCAATATTTGAACCCCATCTTTACAATAAACTTAAGTGAATTATTTATTTGATATAGAAAAGTAATCAGAATTAAATTTTCCCTCTTCAAACAACATTTGAAAAACTTATGGATACTTCAATTCATTTTTATTTTAACATGTTTCATTTGCTTATTGAATTAATGATTATTGTTAAATTCTTTGTTACTGTTCTTATTATATCAATTAGTAATTTAACTATTCTTATTATTATCTTTGTTAATCAATTTTTTATTGATTAAGTAATGAATCTTATTACAATATATATTATTCATCTTAATTTTTTTAGAATTATTATTATTATATTTATTAATATTATTATTATTATTATGATTATTAATAATATTATTATTAATATATGGATTATTATTTTTATTATTATTATTGTTATTAATATTATTATTGTTACTATTACTATTATAAATTAGATATTACAGGCTATGATACTTATTAATATTATATATTTAAGAGCTATTGCTGTTATTTTGCTGGGGAATCATTCTATAGAAATTATTCATTGGGATTGGATTATTGTTTCATATTCTAAGAAAGATTTTATTATTAATATTGTTATTGTTATTATTGATTTGGTCTTAAGTCTGATTCAAATGTTTGTTTTGTGATTTTAATATTCATGTTTTATTTTTGTGGAATAATTTCTGATTATGTCACTAATTTCATATCTTACCTAGTTGTAATTAAGGATTGTTAATTATTAATGACTCTTGGTTAATTAGAATCATTTGATTCTAATAGGATACTTCCCCTCATCACATGGTCCTTGAATTATGATATTGTTTTAAGTGCCTGGATTACTTTGTCATAAAGAGCTTTATCATCAGATCCACAAACCAATGTTTTGTAGTAACCATGACTTTCAGAATTAGCAATTATAACAAATCTATATCGCTTATCTTTGTATTCTTAGGGTTAAACAGTATAATATTATAGGTAGATAATTCTTGGTTTTTTTTTGCTGTTCTTTTTCCTTAATATTTCAAAGGTTCTTTATTTAGAGTCTATCTTAAACTCTTTTTATTTCCAACTTTTCAACACTTTAGTCCTTACATCAATAATTCCCTTAATTTCTCCAATGGCTGATGGAATCATATTAGCCTTTTGAAAAATAAAGAAGATATTACATAAGCATATCCCTTAATAATCTATATAAACATCTCTTTTTGGGCCTATTTATTCAACTTCATCAATGCTTGACACTCTTCTAATTCCAATGAATGGAAAACAGAAGTGTCAATTTCTTAGTTATTGATGCATTCTAGAAGTAGTTCAAGTTTGTGAGACATCTTAATTGGTAACTTATTTTACACTTAGAGGAACTAAAATGAATTTTGAGCTTCGTTGAAATCAAAATCCATAATATATAATATTATGATAAAAAATAGAGGTTCATCATCCAATAAAACAACCAATCCTTATGCTCTTTAAATGCAAGAAGAAGCTAAAAAAATGGTACAAATAGATTTATTCTTAGGCAGACAAATTGGCAAAACTTAAATAAAATTTGAATTCCTAAAAGATGGAACGATCTTAAATAAGCAAATAATCAGGTGATTCAACAGAAACATTTAGATGGCAGAATAATACAACTCCAAATAATCGAAGTAAAATGCATAATTAATCAAGTACTTAAGGATAGGCCTCCTTCAAATAAGTCAGAACCTATTGAATAATTTTTGAAATCAATCAAATTAGATACTTATGTCTAAAAATTTAAAGAAAATGGATTTGAAGAATTAGATATCCTTTTAGACATTCAAAAAGAATAACTACAATAAATGGAAATACCATTAGGTCACTAAATTAGATTAATGAAAAAAATTAGGGAACTCAAATAATTTGTAGAAGTGAATGAACCTATCATATAAAATGAATCTAAGTATGATGAATTGGAAGGTATCCTTATTCAATTACATAGAACCAATAATTGATTAAAGTTTCACTTAACAGATTAAAAGATCTAGCCTGCAAAAAGAAAGGTAAAAAAGTGTTAAGAAAGTAACATTTTAATAAAATGAAAACTAAGAAGAGTATAAAAGCATTCAATAATCCTTTAACTAATCATTCATCTTGGATTAATTACAAGAAATCTCTAATTATATGAATCAAAATCATATTGGAGAAAATTCAAATATTAGTGTCCAAACTAGTGCTGACTAAAATTAATTTGACAATAACACAAGCGCTATCTCTATAACCAAATAAAAGCCCTATGATGAATAGAATGCATAATTACTCAGAATAAAAAAAGTAGCTTGTTGGAATTGTTTTAAATTATTAATTAAAGACTTCATCTATATTGATTGCAATGAGTTTTGCAATTTAGAATGCTATCAAAAATATAACAATTTATATCTTGTAATCAGTTAATCTATATTAGGGTTAATGTGTAAGTTGTAGTTAATAATTTGATATAAGAAATGGAATTATGTTGAATGGATGTTACTTTTGTACTGAAAAATGCTCTGAAAAATATGATTTCTAGATCATGAAGGATAAAAATGAGGAGATAGAAAAATAATTCTTAAACTATAAAGGTAATCACTTACAGTAAGAAATCCATTATTAAAAAGAGGAAATTGATTTAAATTTCGATTGAAAAAATACTAAGTTATCTAAAACTAACAATTTTAATAAAGAAAACTTTTTTAATTAAGTTCATTATTTAATTAATACTCATTATTTTTTTTATCTTTACTAGAATAAATAATAAATATTTTTATTTGAATGATATTTTTGTGATAACATCAATTTATTAATCATAAAGTAAATAAACTATTCTATTAATAAATATATAAATTATGTAAAGTTATATATGCTTGATAAGTTTTAATAATTAACATATTTTTATCAACAAATTTAAAATTTTTATCATTCAGAAGATTAAATTTATGAATTCTAATTTCTAAATTGATTGAATTACTATTTCCTTTAAATAATATAGATTATAAATGCAATTAAAACATTTAGTTGATTGTAATAATAATTTGTTGATTAAAATACTTTTATTTAAATTTATTGAAATCTTTAATAAATTATATTTAATAAGATTTATCAAATTCAATTGTATTTCATTTTAATTATATTTATACAAATAATCTTTAGTTTATTATACAACATAAATTTATTTAGTTCTATATCATTTGATTTATATTAATAAAAATAATCCTTAATTATTTCAATTGTATAAAATTTATTAAATTCTATTTATTTGATTTATATA